AATCAGGTCTCAATGGAAGCAAGATTTGCACGCTCTTTAAACTAACAAAATTATTATTATTATTATTATTATTAATAATATATATATATATATATATATATATATATATATATATAAAATTAGTGTTGTCCAATCACATTTTGTCAAATCGATTACAACAACCCAGGCAACTATTTTCTCTCTCAAATTAAGTGATCACTTTCAATATCTGACCAAACAGTTGATCAGAAACCAAAATTGTTGCATGTATGACTAGCATACAGGATTCAGCCCCTCGTCCAAATAGAGCTCCCTCTAGTGGCTCCCAGGGGTGGGTAGCTTCTTCCACTGCTTAGCAGAATGTACACAACATGAGGGGTTGCAGGTAGAAGTGGGGAAACACAATTACAAATAATGTACGGACTTAAATTTAGCTTTTGTCTAAAGACTACAGGAACAGACACCGCTAATTGTGTTACAATTTAAAGTAGAACTATAGGGGGAAAAAAACCAATTTTTTTTTTGGTTTTGTATAGAGCGGAAAGGGAAAGTTTTTATTGCTGTCTGTGCTTTTGTTAAGGAGATTCACCCTCTCCATTTGTCCTGTTTACAATGAACATTAAAAGTAGAGAAAATCCCAAATTTTGGGTTGTCCCCAGAAAAGTAATGGAGGGGAAATGTTCCAGTGGGGACACTTGTTCTGGTGGCCTGGGGATCCACAAAGAATTCCCTTAATTTGCAGGGATTCACTCTCATTTCCTGTCTGGCTATCGGAAATCTCCGTAATGGGACACAGAGAGCGAAAAAAAAAATCTTACAGGGGTTATAACCCTCTCTTACTCTGTCCAAAATGGACAAAATACATTGCCTATAGTTCTACTTTAAGTGCCAGTTCACATATATGTGGCTGCGATTTCTCCTGCGCTCTAGGCCCCAGACCGGTGATAAATAGATGGAACCAACACCAGAGCAAGCGACCACCAGTATATTTCAAGGTTGTGCAGCTCCAAAACAGGGCTGGGGAAGCCCGATCGATTTTGTTTTTACTTCACATATATACGAATGGGGTTTGAACTGCATTCAATACGCATGATATGTGAAAAAACATTGCTTCCTATGGTGCCTGTTTACATAATGTCTGGTGCACTGGCGGTGCGGATTCAGTGCAGTTTGAAAAAGAGTCCTGTACGATTTCTCAGCAGTGCCTTCAGCTTCAGGTGTGGTAAACAGGCTATTGGCTTCTATGGGAACCGTTTCTAAATCTCATATGTCTGAACAGGATAAAATCCAGAGCTAATCCTGTCCTGACCCTGATGTAAACCTGACATGAACTGCTGGACACTACTGTATCAATTAGCTGTGAAACCTGAGCTGCAATCCGCACATGTGTGAATCAGCTCTAAAGTAGAAATCCGGGAAAACATTTTTTTTTTGGCCCGTGCAGTGAGGCTGTGCCGGCACTGCACGGGTCAAATGCTCATTTTGTTCTAGGGGACAGGACACTAAAGACATACTCTCGCCTGACCCGACGATCCTCCCTGCGCAAGACCGGTCCTCGGGGCTGTTCCTGAGGTCAGCAAGCTCAATGCACGCTCCACAGACAGGAACAGTCCACTGCTTAACCATGGGGGAGCATGGTTTTCATAGGATCGGCGGGTCAGGTGAGTTTGAGCTTTGTCCTCACCGCTAGAAAAAAAGGAGCAGCCGATCAATGCAGTGGGGGCGCTGCATGGTGAAAACAAAATTGTAACTGGAGTTTTGCTTTAAAGACAGGTAAACTGAAATTTTTACATCAAACACAAAATCCATATACAATGATATACCATGAAGTAGAAAGTAACGGGAATTGGTACATTATATCCTGTAATTCACTGCATAATATCTCAGCACCATATAGAGAAAAAAAAATGTGTACTAGATGCTCTCCGCACAAAGCTAAATCAAAAAGTTTCACAATGAAACTTGGTAGATAATACTTGCCAGTGCTCCGATATATCTCAGTCCTCGAACACTATCTTTGCGATTCATACTAAAAGCAAAAAATTATATTAAAAAACAGCCAGATACCATTCTCTTTACAGGTGGACTGGTCTCTCCGGCATACTATATATGCGCTGGTACATAATCTACTCTGCTACCAAACAATTGAAAATTGCCTGTAATCAATGTGCATGAAGTACTGCACAGGAGAAAATAACTGTTATGAACCATACAATTCTATTTTTTTAACTATGTATTTTATTTCTAGGCCTGTTGTGGGGGAGGCTTTGTTGAAATATCAGAGATTTATACAGACCCCTGATATTTCACTTTTGAGATAAAGGAAAAGATAGATAGAGGACACAGAGCCCTCAATCTGCTTCTCCGCAACCCCAGGAGCACTGCATAATTAATAAACAGAAGCACTCTGTACAGAGGCTTCCTGTTCATTCACAAAGCATAGTAAAGAACTTTTAGTTGTGAACACAGGAGTGATCGGTTCCAATCATCCACTGTGTTCATTCAGGAAAGGAAGAGGTAAAAAAATATGATCTATTTACTTACCTGTACCCTCCAACCTGAAAACCTGATCCCTCGTATTCCCCAGCAGCTGACAGGAGGGAGAGGAGGAGAAGCCAACAGTGTTGCTAAAGTGAAGTGATTGTGAGTTTATAATAGAATGGGGAATGCAGTCGACATAAGATATACTGACCTAGCCAACTTTAAACGGTTCTGTGGTGCTGTGTGCCTTACATTGGTGGCAGCAAAAGGGTTAAAAGCAAATCTGAATGGTGATCAGCACACTTTGTTTTGTTCAATTTGCATTATATTTTTCTAAACATGGTTTGAAAGTGAACACAGCTGTTGGACCAAAACGGAGTTACAATAGCGCCAAAAACTTGTTGTGCACTAAGGGAATGGCAAGATTTTAAAGGATGACGACCCAATGCAAGGTGAGTGCCCAAAAGAATTCTTAAAGTTTAAAGCAGACCTATTAAACAACTTTTAATAGGACTACGTTCTAAGAAAATTACATGGTTTATAAAAAAAAATACCATAGTTCCTTTTTAAAGCAGACCTTCACCCACTTTCTGTCATTCAACCTTTTTAAATACCTTTCTGGGGAATCCCTACCACACTTCCTGGATTCTCGCCTGGGAGAAAATAATGTTTTTGTCGAAAACAGCCTCCTGGAATACCAACGTCATGTATCCCAGAAGGCCTCTGGTACTTTTCATTGCATGGGCCATGGCGCATCATCAGGGGGCCAGCTGTGTCTTTTTGGCTTTTGCAGCTAGCCCCCTGATGATGATCCACAGCACATGGGCATCAACAGGTGGTCAGCTGCAAGAATCCATAAGAGACAGCTGGCCCCCTGTTGAGATCACAGCAGAAGATGTCAGCATGAGACTGGCTGTGCAGTGACAGCTCCCTACAGAACTCTGTTGGTTCACCGGACGCGAGTATGTATTCTATGCATAACCCAGAGGAAAAAGAAGCGGGGAAATAATTGAGTAATTAGTAAGACCTCATCTGGGATATGCAGTTCAGTTTTGGGCACCAATTCACAAAAAGAACATTGGGGAACTGGAGAAAGTACAGAGAAGGGAAACAAACTGATAAAGAGGCATGGAGGAGCTCCGCTATGAGGTAAGATTAGAGGAACTGAATTTATTCTCTCTCGAGAAGAGGAGATTAGGGGGATATGATCAACATGTATAAAATACATCAGTGGTTCATATAGTGAACTCGGTGTAGAGCTATTCATCTTGGGGTCATCACAGAGGACAAGGGGGCACTCTTTACGTCTGCAGGAAAATAAATTTAATCTCCAAACACGGAAAGGTTTCTTCACAGTAAGAGCTGTGAAAATGTGGAATAGACTCCCTCAAGAGTTGGTTCTGGCCAGCTCAGTGGATTGCTTCAAAAAAGGCCTGGATTGTTTCTTAGATACAAAGAATATAACTGGATACTAACATTTATAGGTAAAGTTGATCCAGGGAATATCCGATTGCCTCTTGAGGGATAAGGAAGGAATTTTTTTCCCAGCAGGAGCAAATTGGTTTATTCTTTGCTGGGTTTTTTTTTTGCCTTCCTCTGGATCAACTGTGAGTATAGGATTATAACTTTTATTTCTATGTTTGAACTGATGGACTTTTGTCTTTTTTCAGCCAGACTAACCATGTAAAACGATGTAGATATCCAGCTGGACAAAAGTTATGAAGATAGCAGAACTGGGGGACATCTGAAACCTTTTATAAAATATTGAAATTAAAAAGCCAATCTAATTTAGCTCAATTATGTACAGTTTAAAACGAAGAGTTGCTGAAATCACTAAACATAATTTCCATTTATATTTATTTTTCCACAGTGAGGAATAAGAACATTTGTATTCTAGTGCCTGAAACCCTCTCATACCCTGTGCCTGCTCCTCCACTATATCAAAGCAAGTGTGCTTCAATCCCTCCTATACCCTCAGCATGTACCCCCCCCCCCCCCCCACTTTTTCCAGTAGTTCCACAAGCAATGGGAGCTGAATGAAATACTGACTTTGTGGGACAGTATTGGCCAATCAAAGATGATTATAGAGTAGAGATTCATAGCTTACACACACACACACAAAAAAAAAAAAAAAGGGAGACGTACATGCTGCTGGGGAGGGTGACAAAGTGACCCTGGTGGCTTGCCCTGCCAGAGCATAGCACAGGTTCAATTGAAAGCAGTAGAGAACAAAGACATCAAACATTGTCAAACATGCAAATACTGCATTCATCTATAAATTCACATTAAAAATTCTGAAGGGAAGTCAAATAATAATATGCATATGTTTGACATGACTGCATTGAAGTCAAACAACTCTGCCTGCATGGAGTTTTAATACCAGCCGCTCATGATGCTGCATGGAATGGGAATTTAATCCATCATTAGACGTGGGGAAAAATAGAACCACAGAGAAAGGAAACTGTATATTATATCATCCAGATGATCTTAACACATTTAAGAAACATAGCGTGAGAAAGGAAAATAGAAAACTACAGTACCAGATCTTCAATGTTTCCATAGATGTTCTTCTTCATGCCCGATGCCCGTGTGGCTACCCAGCCCCCCAAGGTGCTAAACTCCATGGAATCTGGCTCATGGCCTGTGCAGTACCCACTCTCCCCGAGCTGAAAAAGATCACATAAAAGATTAACAACAGCTGAACTTAACAGCTTATAACATATCTATGGTCAAAATGTAAAATCATAGATTCGTTTCCACATATATGTATTCAAATTATGTTCGCTTACTTCTACTCATCTGAATGATCTTGAAGTTTGTAAACTTACTTTGTGAAGAATGCCACACATTTACTTCCTTGAATTCGGTGACACAGTCACTATGCCCTGTAAATAGGCACTGCTGTGCCACACATTTCAGGCTAGGTTCACAATCGGTGCGGTACATCGCATGTGATTCGCACAGGAACCACACTGTATTCCTGTGCAAATCACATGCGAATTGTGTGCGGTGCAATTTGTGTATGGCTCAAATCGCACCGCATCCACACCAAAAAGGTGCAGGACCCTTTTTTTTGTGTCCACACTAGAATTGGGTATTCACACCTATGTGATCCGATTCTGCACATCGTACCGCGTTTTGTGGACAAATTTCAGGGTTTTGTTAACTTAACATACACACCCGCAGCGGTTCGCATGAACGGAGTGCGATTCTGATGCGGTGCAGCATTCGCACAGAAAACGCTGCAAATTCTGGACCGCCTTAGTGTGAACCCAGGCTCACAGTTTCAGGAACAACACAGTACAGGAATCAATGCTTGCAGGTAGGAAGGTACTATGGGATATGTAGTACTTAGAAATCGAAAGTTAACAGCAGAGGGGAAGCTGCAAAGCATGCAGGGAATCCAGGAAGTTGTGGAAAGATGACCAGCAGACAGGCAGAATTCATAACATGAAAGGCGACCTTTGAATAAGCGTGCTGTACATTGGATTGTCAAAAATAGCCATTGTTTGTACTGTTATTACAATGCTGATGTTATAAAGTTACTGTATGCTGCAACTATAGAACATCTTTAAAGGGAATATACTATATAGTGCGTTTGGATACATATTCTTTATTATTTTAAGAAATTCTTCATTTTTCAGGTATATGTTCATTTATATTTAAAATGGTTGTAAAGGCTCAAGGTTTTTTACGGTCATGCATTCTATGCATGAAGGTAAAAAAAAAAAAAAAAACAACCTTTCTGTGTGCAGCACTCCCACCAACCCCCCAATACTCGACTTTAAGTCCCCTCTCGATCCAGAGATGTGCACTGGAGTCTCGGCTAGCCCGGGATTCCCTCTCTTCATTGGCTGAGACAGAAGTGGGAGCTACTGGCTCCCACTGCTATCAATCACTGCCAGTGAGCCAATGAGAAGAGAGGGGTCGGGGCCCAGCTGTGGCTCCGTATGTAAATGAATACATGGAGCAGCGGGTGCCCCCATAGCAAACTGCTTGCTGTGGGGGCACCCGACAGGAGGGAGGGACCAGGAGTGCCAGCGGAGGACCCCGAGAAGAGGAGGATCAGACCTATCCTGTGCAAAACCACTGCACACAGCAAGTAAGTATAGTCATGTTTGTTGTTTTTTCTATAAAAAAAAAAACCCTTTAGAATCACTTTAATATCTCTAGGCAGCAGGTGGTTTTCTGGCATTTTTTTTCCATGTTTATCTGGTTAAAGCTGAACATGAGGCAGATATTAAACTGATATTGTTATTAGATCTTGGCAGATTGTTCTTAAAAAAAAAACAACAACAACCATATTATACTTATGGCCCCTTTCAGCCGCCCAGGACAGACCCGTCCGTGGATTAGTGTGCCCAGCGGGGGATCTTTCTGCTGATCCCCGCTAAGCAAGCAGATGACAGGTATGTGTCCGCTCCGCTTATGCAGAGCAGACACAACCCACTGTATTTGTTGGGGGCGCTCGGATGGAAACGGACCGCCTGTCTTTTTCAACCAAACTGTCATCCGATCCACCAGACAGATCCGTCTGTTGCCAGCAGGTGTCAGTGGAAACATGTCGGCTGACACCCACCACTCCATAGAGAGCCCTGGATGGTTCGATCAGGTCCGCCTGAAAAATTGACAGGTGAACCCGATTGAACCGTTAGTGTGAAAGGGGCTACCTGCTCTAAACAAGTTATTCACAGAGAACCCCCAGGATCCTCCTCTTTTTGGGTCCCTCGCCGTAGCTCCTTGCCCCTCTCCTGCCGAGTGCCCCCACAGCAAGCAGCCTGTTATTAGGGCTCCGGAGCCGCTGCTCTGTGTGTCCACTCACAAAGGAAGCATGGCTTTCCCTAGCCTCCTCTCTCTCTCCTAACTGGCTCACTGGCTGTGATTGACAATAGCAGGAGTCAATTGCTCCCGCTGCTGTATCAGTCAATGAGGAAGAAGAGTCCCTGGAGAGCTGCTGCTTTTGTGCACATTGCTGATTCGAGATGGGGCTCAGGTAAGTATTAGGGGAGGCACGGAATGCATGAAAGTAAAAGACCTTGAGCCCTTACAACCACTCTAAAAACACAGTTTAATGTAGCTCTATAAACAATAATTTAAAATATTTGCAAGCTGAATTTGACCCGATACGTGGTTTAGTAAGAAATTTTTGTTTTGCTTGAAGGTTTATTGAACAGAAATGTCAGATATAGCCAACACATTTCAGGGCATTTTGGGGAATGGACTCGTTCTTTAGAGCTTGAATAGTATATAAAGGAATAGTTTGGAACAGTAAGGGCGGTCAACGAATCCAGCTCCATAAAAGGAGTGCGCCCCCATCCCTGATTTCTGTGGGATTTACATATAAAAGAATTCTCATCCTAACTGGTCCATCGCTGCCACAAACACACCAGTCCCTGAATTGGACTTGCTGTCAGATTTTGCAATCTTCTATACAGAGAGGGCAGCACAAGGAGCCAATAAGGTGAGCTGCATGCAACTATATGCTGACAATGAATAAGCTGACCATATGAGAGAGAACATTCAAAACCTCCTTTTTTCCCCCCCTTTGGTTCCTTCATTGTTCAGTTATAGGCGGGGGAAAGGAGGTATCAACACTTTGATCCTTAAGCCCAGCTTCAGCCAAATATACCCATTAGTTTAAAAACTCCAACCTGGAACTGGCATTAAACCATTATAGATTCCTTTAAATACCAAGCTATCATGAGTGCAACTATCTGGATTATAGATAAGGTGGCCATACACTATACAATTTTCTGTCCAAATTTCTGCCCAATTTCCTTTAGATTTACCTTCAACTATGTAGTGCAAGAACCTGCCTAATTGGATACAATTAAAAGTGTTGTTAGGTTTGACCTCTTATTATATGGTATTTGGTAAATCTAAACAACAAATCTCAAGAAAATTGTATAATGTATGCCCAGCCTTAAGGCTGGCCATAGATGATTTGGGTTTTTTTTTTTCCGTTCAGCCAGCAGGACCTCTTCAAGTAAATGGCTCACCAAAACAGATTACTCCATCCACACAATCAAGGTAGATAGAAGAATGGTTCCCTCTGGAACATTGTTTTCGGACAGTGGCACTCTCTGCTACATGGATCAGTGGCTGAAAATTTTCCAACAAACCCATTTGACAAAATTCAATCCAATAAATAACTTCTGTGGAACAGGCACAGACGCACATGGATGAGTCTCTGCTGAACTGTTCGAATTTTGATCCATCTATGGCTAGGTTTAGAGTGGTAATGATGCTTTATGCTTCAAGCAGGGCTTCTTAAAGTATGAGTCAGGACCCAAATCATGGATGTAACTGACAGGCAGGCCCATGACTACATAGTAAACTTAGCCTAGTTTATCCAAATGCAAAATTACTGGCAAGATAAAAAGCTTACTTTATCTATGTTTCAAATTGAATACTGCCATGATCTAAGTTGTATCTTATATACAATTCGGTTAATGTATCACAGAGAGTTTTGTTTCTTTCGGATGAAAGTTTAACATTTCCACACAACACCACCATTTTTATCAAAACCTGTGAAACAAATCAAAAGATATGACTGACAGCGTGAACATGTGTTGAGGACTAGAGAGAATGCAAGATGGGGGACAGAGTTTATTACTCGGCTTTAATAAAGCTTACAAAAATGTCGAGGAGTGCCTGAACCGGTTATAAGTCTATTGTTATTTGTCGTTCTTTGGCTTTGCTGACATTTGGACCCTTTTTTGGTCTTAATAGGGTAACAATTTTCTTTTTTGAGTGCTCAGAACAAAAAAGTCTTAGAGGGATTTTCCAGGTTCAGTTAGAATGTAGAAAATCCCCAGATTTGCTGGGAGATTATTTCAACATCATTGGGAAAGATTTTTTTTCTGCACAAGAGCAGATTACCAAGGATTCCAAGCATTACACAGCATTCCAAGGGTTTTCACTTTCCAAACAAAACTAGAAAAACATAAAAGTCATAATATAAGTACAGTTAAAGTATATATAAACCTTCACTGTGTAAAACAACTCAATCTGTTTTAAAATAGAAATGAAAGGTAAATACAGGGGTTACACCAAAAAAAAAAATGAAAACACTACATGATATGAAGGTGTGAAAGTGACATGTTTCACGCTGAAAGCGGAAGTGCTGTACCATTATTTTGCTTTTGCTGTGTGATGAGACACCTGCTAGTAATACGAAGTCATGTCAGAGCTTACAGAGCTTCAAAAAGGGTAAATTGTTGGTGCCCACGTATATGGTACCTCTGACTGAAGTTGCCAAATAATTTGCTGTGTCGTGAGGTACAGTATCAAAGGTTAAGATGGCATATACAGTTTCTGGAAAAACATAGTCTGAGAAGCATAATTTCGGTCAACAGACCAAAGAGACAAAAAGGACATTGCGCAGAATTGTGACCCAGAATAGGAAAACAACTGCTGTAAAAGTGACTGCAGAACTCTCAGCCTTCACTAGTGCACTTTGTAACAAGACCAGAGACAATGGCAAAGAAAGTACGTGAACTGGTTTTCTGCAGTAATTTCCCATGAAAAGTGATCTGATCCTCATCTAATGCAGGCCATAGACGAGACGTTTACCGGCCGAACGAATAATTGGCCGATATTCACACCGCTAGTGGGGCAATTTTGTCGGCCGATAAATGTCCCGTCTATGGCCACCATAAGTCACAGCAGACAATAGACAAAGTGTGCTTAAGCTGATAACACCCAATTCTAATTTGTTGTGTCTTTATTGAACACACCCATTAAACATTCAAAGCGATGGAGAAAAAAGTAAGTGAACCCTTTAATTTAACTGGTTGAACCTTAGCTGGATGAACCTCCTTCCGCAGCAATGACTTCAAGCAAGCACTTTCGGTAGCTCTGAATCAGACCTGCACAACAATCAGGAGGAATTTTTCACCATTGCGTTTACAAAGCTGCTTCAGCTCACATTTGTGGGATGTCTGGTGGGAACAGCTCTCTTGAGGTCATTCCAGAGCATCTCTATGGGGTTAATGACTGTGTGTTTTGACTGGCCCACTCCAAAAATGTGCATTTTCTTTTTTTGAAGCCAGTCCGCAGTGGATTTACCTCGATGCTTATGGTCATTGTCCTGCTACATCACTCAACTTCTACTAAGCATCAGCTGGCAAACAGCCACCTTGACATAATAATGTTGTGGTTTTGCCATGGTGCTCTTTGACAAACTTCAGGCAAGCAGCAATGGTTTTTTTTTTTCTGGAGAGCAGCAGTTTCCTCCATGGTGTTCTTCCATGGACACTCTGTCTGGATGTTTGCCAGTTCCAGTGACATCTTCAAGCCATTAGCTGTTACTTGTGGGTTCTGCTTTACCTCATTAAGGATTCTGTATTGTGCCTTGGCAGTCATCTTGGCTGGGCACCCACTTTTAGGAACAGTAGTCAGAGTACTAAACTGTGCCCATTTATGGAAAATTTGTCTGTCGACTGATGGATGCCTAAATACTTTGAGATTGTTTTGTATCCCTTTCCCTATCCTTTTTTAAGAGCAACAAATCTTAAAGCGTGTCATTTATCAAAGTACAGCTAAACCACACCTCCAAATGCATTTCATTATTGGACTCCAGGTGTGCAAACTAATGACTCCAATAGGCATTTGTTGAAGTAACTAGTCTGTGGGTTCACTTACTTTTCCCTCCAACACGGTGAAAGTTTACTGGGCATGATTAATAAAGACAAGAAATTAGAATTGCTTGTGTGTCATTAGCTTAAAGCGTAACTATACTCACCTTGGCTAGAGCAATGCAGCGTCCTGAAGCTCCCCATCGGTCACAAACAGGTATCCGTCACCCGCCGCTTTCATTGGCCAGGCCAGTATGACGTCACTCCTGCGCACACGTGGGAGTTTAGTCGGATTCAGCAATGCTGAATTTCTGCAGTGAGCGTTTATATACAGTGAGCTGTGAGCACACAGAACAGGCATTTAGGTAACTTTAATGCAAAAGAGACAATAAAAGTCTCTTCTGCATTAAAGATCCTGCCTGTTCACCCTTTTTTTTTTTCTTTTTTTTTTTAGCTTTTACATAAAGTTCCACTTTGTGTTTGTCTATTGTTGTGACATAAATGAGAATCAGTTCACATTTTCTGGCAAATTACCACAAAAAAAACCCAGTTAATTCCAAAGGGTTCATTTACTTTTTCTTGCCACTGTAACTAGCTTTTTCACATATTTTAGAGCATGTGTTGGACTTCAAGCAGTCCTGCTACAAAGTATCTTAATAATTTCTATGTACAAATAACGAATATAAACGTAATCCAATATCTAGTCATACATAACTACACCGAACTCTATAACAGCAGCTGATGACTTTTGGCAAGTGAATTATTTCTTAACCAAACAAATCTGAACATGAACAAATACATCCTCAAAGAGCAAGCAAACACCAGATTATGTTTTAAAAAAATACCTCTAACTTCATGTAAATCACCCCAATAAATAAAGTCGTTAATCTCGCGTTCCCTTTCCTCTAATGTGATCTGAAGCAGCCTTTCAATAATGTGAGCAAATTGCCTACACTTAATTCTCTCAAGAACTGATGTGTTTTAATGTACAGCCATCTGGATGGGTTTCCGGTATGCAACAGCACCATCTATTAGTGATGCAGATCATGCATTCCTGTACATTAAATAGTCACTTGTTCCTCATTTTTCTATATTAGCTCGGCTTTGCCATCTGTACAGCACCTGAGTTGGAATAGATGCCCTTAAATTGCAACAAAAGCGAGCGGTCCCAGTGAAATTATTTTCAAAGCTCAGCAGTCTTGCATTAAACGGTACAGACTCAACCATCTGTGAAGCTGGGGTTTATGGTGTACCAGGCTATCAATCAGAGGTAATCCATTTTGGTTAACTGAGAATTTCCACTCCGGTAATATGTCAATAAAAAATGTGGAAAAAAAAACGTCCAGGACAGTCATATTCATTTACAAAGGCTTTTGATAAGTACAAGAAAGTGCAGTTTGTAATAGCTTTTTCGTTTAGAAGGATCGGTATTAATACTTTCAATTGAGGTGTCTGAGATGAGGAGGAAATGGACGTCAAATCTAAAACATGTTACCGTTAACAGCTTGAGTTGTAAAAAGTGAATTTTAGTGAAGTTGATGAAATGTATCAGTTATATTGGCAAAACATATGTTGCTCATTGGTAGAATTTCAGTGATAATGCTATAATATACTTGCACTAACCTAGAGAACAGAACACAGACTCGACCAAACTGGAGCTCTTATGATTTCTGAAAGGGGTTGTGATAAGATTGTGGAGGCAATCGTAAAAAAATGACTTAAAGTGGTATAAAACCCAAAATGTTCTTCCTGTGTCTGCGTGGGTTTCCTCTGGGTAGTCCAGTTTCCTCCCACACTCCAAAAACATGCTGGTTGGTTAATAGTTTCCTGTCTAAATTGGCCCTAGTATGTGTATGTATGAATGGGAGTTAGGGACCTTAGATTGTACGCCCCTTGAGGGTTAGGGACTGATGTGAATGTACAATATATATGTAAAGCGCTGCGTAAATTGACAGCGCTATATAAGTACCTGAAATAAATAAATGCAAACATTTATTATATTGCAGCCTACCAATTCTTAGATGTAACTGCATTTGTTTTCTTTTTAGGCTTTCTTTCCCTTATATTCACCTGGTGATCTGGCCAGCAAGTATGTTGACTCAACAAGCTCTCTTGCAGATGTAGCAGTTAGAGGGATGAGACAAACCATTTACCACCAACAGGGGTGCTTACAATGATCGTTTATTTGTTTAAAACCTTTATCCCAAAAAAGAAAAAACTGCTGTAATTGCTTATAAAGTGTTTGCTGGAGCTCACCTTCAATTTGTTAGTGAATCTAAATCTGCTAATATATCCAACACTCCCCTCCCCCCAGATTTAGTGCTGATTCACACATGTGGGTTCCGGGACATCAAGGTCTGGTTTCAGTGAGGATTACAGTCTACTTGTTCAGCAGCCGTATGGAGAGGGCTGTGTCCTTTCCCTCCAATCAGCTATCAGAGCTCTCCTCACTGAGCCCTGCAGTGTTCAACTTCAGCTTTCCGCCCCCTTTTTTCGAACTCTCAGACAAGCTTTATAAACTCAGCACTTAGATGTAGAGAAGAGAACACTACAGATAAACTGGTACAATGTATGTTATGTAGAAGGATTTGTTTCAGCTCTGTATCACCTGAGGCCAGTCACTTTATTGGATATATGTAAGGGTTTACAACCAATTTAAGCCTGTAAGCAACAGGCAGCTTGGATGTTTTTTTAAGAGACATGTCACCCAAGTGGAATAAAGCCACTACCCAATTTTACTACAAATGACTACCAATGCAGGGGGGTTACAGTTACAGTGGGGGGGGGTGGGGGGATTGGGGTTAATACTGCTGACAACATTTCTGGGGGCTATTATTGCATCAACTGACCCCAATGCTGGGAGCTACTACTGCATCCACTGACACCAATGCTGGGGGTTACTGTTGAGTTCACTGACACCAGTGAGTCCAATGAAATCAATGCTATGGGTTATTGCACTCCAATTCTTCAGTGCGCATTGTGATATGATGCAAAATATGCAACAGGACAAAATTTGTTTGCAGCATAGAGGTGCAAAAATGCACTGCTGTTGTGCGGCCATCTGGAGGTATAGGGGCCGCACTTGAAGCGCTCTATAATTTTCCTGTTGCCCACCTCTGATATAAACTATGTAATTATACATGTATTAATATTTCTAAATCCAACAAAAATCCAGTTTATTCCAATCAACACCTAAATGCACCAATGGAATTGCTTTCTGTTCATATATACAGTATAGAACTGATAAGATATAGTATATATGGTAAATATATAGTATAAATGGTATAAACTGGCAAGTATGGTAAAAACTTGGCATGTGGCCAAAATATGCACACATTGATAGGAAACAAAATATCATATTCTGTGTAAGAGAAACTGAACAAGATTGTTATCCAAGGAAGCCTTGAGGGTTCAGTCCCCCTCTGGTAAGCAATGGGTTATCTTTTGAACAGCAGTCATCAGGCTAAATTTTACCACCCACATGTTGATGTTCAGACCCCATTCACACTTCACAGCTCCTACTCATGATTTACACGCATTTCCGTATGTTGCGCATATGGCAGGACATTCACTTGAATGGGCTGCCCTAAGTGCGTTTGTCATGCAAAAAAATGTCCTCCACCTATTTTAATGATGAGTTCTGAGTGTTTTTGTTACATGGCAAAAATCACACCGTAATTAGGGTGCCAATAATAATGAATGGCAGCCAAATGTGCATTGCGCATTTGCCACGGTTTTAGCAAGATTTGGAATTGCGGACAGAACCACACCTAATCTACATGCGATTCCATATCACTAGGTGTGAATAAGGCCTCATTGCCAAAGAGTGGCCAGATATTTTTCAGATCTGATATACAATCAATTATATCACCTTGAATTCACATACCTGTCTTTCTAAATCCTGCCCTGTGATACCAGACTCCACATGAGCAGTCAGGTTCTTGTCATCTATCCATAGGATTCTGCTCTGTAGAGATAAACAAAACATATTTAGGGTACCGCTAACATAAAAAGTCCAACATTTTTATAAAGTTCTTCCTTGCAGCTTGGTGAAAGTATTTCTGGTATGCTTTCTGGATTATTGTGTAACTGAAGCCCAGACATTTTGGGGAGGCTAGGGAAGGATTATAACCCCTACTGAGTTTTAACTGTGATGTATGTCCCCACTGGGGACGTTTCCTCTCACCTTCTGTTTTGGCTATGGGACAGGAAATGAAGGGAAATCTCCCCAATGAGACACAGATGGCAAAAAAACCAAAAAAAAAAACCCTCAATCTATTCAAAATTTTGAAAAAAAAAAAGTTACACTTTAAGGTGAAATTACAAGCACAGGTGTCAAAACACAAGGTCCGAATCCGACCCTCCAGGCCATTTCTTGTGGCCCTCCGACCTCCTCTACAGCTGTGGCACCCCCCTCGTCTCCACCTCGTCTCAGCAGTCGGCAGTAGGGAGGAGGATAAAACTTCTCCAAATCCTGCACTTCTCCATGCCCCCGCGAGAGGCTCGTCTCGGCAACCCCCCACTCCTGGTCTCAGAAGTTGGCAGCAGAGAGGAGGGTAAAACTCCTACACATCCTGCCTTTTTCTGTGCAGCTGCAGCACCCCCTTGTCTTTAAGTCCCCTAGTCTAGGCATTCAGCAGACTCCAGCCCTCTGGTCCTCCTCCAGACCCCGCACCTTCTGCTTCCCAGCTCCTCCTCCAACTTCTTCCTGGCAGCAGCAGGTAAGGGGGGGTGTACTGTGATGTAGGGGAGAGGGGGGGTGTTCGGGGACATCAAGTCTCAAAGGTACAACTAGCCCACTGAGGGCAACCATAATGCTGGTGTGGCCTGCTTGAAACTGAGTTTGACACCCCTTCTCTAAAGGATAAGTCTGGATTGATGTGAACAGAGTTTGTTTCTAAGATATTTATCAAGAGCCCCCTCTTTGGAATATATGTGCCTTGACTACTTTGACTACCATGCTGTCTTTATAGTGACTTACTTACATTGGATACAATTATACATTGGTACATAATAAAGTTGTTTTTACGGTACTCAGTTTTTCGTCTATATGTCCACACAAAGTTCATGGTTACATATTCTGTTCATAGTTGTACATCCTTTAACCACTTGCCTACAGGGCACTTATACCCCCTTCTTTACCAGGCCAATTTTCAGCTTTCAGCGATGTCGCACTTTGATTGACAATTGCGCAGTCATGCAAGACTGTACCTATATGAAATTTTTATAATTTTATTCTCACAAATAGAGCTTTCTTTTGGTGGTATTTAATCACCGCTGGGCACTGTACGTTTTGCGCTATAAACAAAAAAAGTGCAAAAAATTTGAAAAAAAAAAAAAAAAAGTTTCTTTGTTTCTATTATAAAATTTTTCAAACAGATAATTTTTCTCCTTCACTGATGTGCGTTGATGAGGCAGCACTGATGGGCACTAATAGGCGGCACCGATAGGCAGCACTAATGAGGTGTCACGGATAGGCGGCACTGATAGGCAGCACTGCTAGGCACTGACTGGCACAACCACTGGGCACTGACTGGTGGCACTGACTGGCAGCACTGCTGGGCTGCACTGATGGGCACTAGTGGGTGCACTGCTGGGCACTGGTGGACGGAACTGGTGGGTGGCACTGCTGGGCACCGATCATCAGGGCACTGATCATCAGTGTCCTGATGATCGGTGCCGATCCCTGCTCTGACAACTGCCGGTTCTCGGCAGTACTTTCCTCACGTGCAGCCGAGAACCGGCAATTGCATGTCCCAGTGATCAGCGTGTCATTGGACACGGCTGATCACGTGGTAAAAGGCCGATGTGATTGGCCTTTTACCACATCACGTGATCAGCTGTGTCCGTAGGACACAGCGATCACAGAGATCGCCGGGTGCGCGCCCCTGGAGAGCGCGTTCTGGAAGGACGTCATATGACGCCCTCCCAGAACTGGCCGGCCGCAGTGTAGCCGTCATTCGGCTATCTGTGGTCGGCAAGTGGTTAAACTGTGTCTAATGGGTCACAGCCAGAATTAACAGCCTGACAGACAGGTTGTGTCTCAGCAAGAGAGTTTGTTCCCACCTTGTAGTACCTGTGTGGATATAAATGCAGGGATATCATCGTGACACTCACTGGAACTGAAGAAGTGACTTTGAGAAGCTATGAAATATCTTCAGCATTACAGAACAAGTCCAGTTGAATGTGACCATCTACTACTAGCTACAGTAAATGAAGATAAGCTATAAAGACAAATAAAACAGATATTATTTGTCTTTATAGCTTATCTTCATTTACTGTAGCTAGTAGTAGATGGTCACATGCTCTAGAGTAGGAGTCTTATGAAGTAGATTAATCACATGTGCTGAGCTAGGAATGCCAGGACCTTGATGTGGCAGCCAAAAAGCTTAAATTTACCTTTAAAGCACTATAGCATGTTCAAAACATTTCTGTATCAATTTTATATTGTTTATTGAGCTTGTTTCTAGTCCATACCATTTCCTGCCTGCAAGAGAGCAATTAACTTGCTGACCTGGCCTGCAGTACCTGAAGAATGACATGTTAAGTATCACCTGTATCCACTCTATTCTAAATATGACTGCTAGAAAACTATAAAAGAGAACCCAGGGCAACATGTGGCTCGTGTTATTTCATTTGTATTAAGATCTCAAAAAGAAAATTGGGGCCGTTACTTATAGCAATAGAAGTGTTACACTTTGTCTTTCTAAACTACATTTGGATAAATTATTATTAGAACCAATCAGTGTACTTCCCTTTGTTGGAGTCTGCAAAATTCATACCAAGTTGTGATACTCATTTACCATACTGTACATACTGGTGGATATAAAGCTTTGATAATTCATGCTGCTGTGACCCTGCAGGTTTTTAGTGCCTCCAAAGAGCAGACGGTCATGTCATAAGAATCATTCAATGGTATCCTGCATACAGGATGACCTACTTATCTTTCAGTTTACTGCTACATAGTGCACAGATGACTGTCTGAATCCACCTTAAAGTGATTCTAAAAAGGTATAAAACATATATATTTTTTTTTAATTAACAAACAAACATGTAATACTCCCCTGCTCTGTGCAATGGCTTTTGCACAGAGCAGCTCCAATCCTTCTCTACTTGGGTCCCCTAGCACTCCTGGCTCCATCCCCCAGCAAATGCCACCATAAGCAAACCGCTTGCAATGGGGGATACTCGTGTGTGCTTGCTCCCGAGCCAGCTCTGTGTGTTCATTTATAATGAATTAGTGTTGTGCTATTCCACAGAGAGAGGGGGAGGAGAGAGAGAGGGGGAGGGGGAGAGAGGGGGAGGAGAGAGAGAGGGGGAGGGGGAGAGGGGGGGAGGGGGAGAGAGGGGGGGAGGAGATGAGAGGGAGAGGGGGGGGGTGGGAGGGGGAGTGGGGAGGGGGGGAGGGGAGAGGGGGGGGGGAGAGGGGGGGAGGGGGGGGGGGGGAGGGGGGGGGGGGGGGAGGAGGGAGGGAGGGGGGGAGGGGACACGGATACAAAATAAAAAAAAAAAAAATCTACTGACCCCGACCCGTGATCCTTACTTGACCCAAACACTAACCCTGGCACTGACGGCATAAAGACCAGTGCAGTGAGGCCGCATATTTGTGTGAGTTCTGTGTCAAGGGTTAATGCATAGAATGTATTAAGGGACAAAACATTCTGCATTTAGAACCACTTTATAAGCTGATCTCCAGGTTTAATGTCTCAACAGTTTTGACCAAGTTGACCCAAACAAGCCATTTACTGCACGAACAGGTGCGTTTTCTGGAAGCACTGTATTAACTGTATGTAACTTCATCTACATACAGTATGCAGAGTGGTGTGCCAACAGTGAGACAGAGACTTTCCGTTCCACTCCTGATAAAAAATAGTCAGGCTGAGTGCTGCTCAGACAGTCACAGAAAGCTTTGTATTCTATGAATAAATAAAAAGCTTCCTCTGATTGGCTGAGGTGGTGATCGTGACATCATATGCCCATCTCTCTGCCTCACCCAATCTCCAGCTATGTATTCATTCACAGCTGTATGGTATGTAGCTGAGGCTACATACAGTTAATACAAGCATACTTGTTAATCCAGTAAATATTTAAAAGGATATTAAAAGCAGAGCACAGCATGACTAAAACCAAAAATTTTATATATTACAGTTTACCAGTCCTTTGATGTTGTAGATGTATTAGTTTGTTTTTTTGGGGGGTTTTTTAAGCATTTTTCCTTTATTTTCATCTGGTGATCTTGCCAGTTACACAATTCCTATTCTAACATGACAATGCTTGCTTATTGTATTGAGGAGCAGCATCACCCTATGGCAGAAGGGTGTTAGCACTATAGAACACCTTCCCCTCTCCCCTGCTTTATAAAATTAGGAGGGAGTGTTTTGTATTTGACAAAGAGAAATGGGGACAATGCTGCAGCACAGGCAGATATTACTGGAAATAATCACCTCTAAAGACATCTGGCAGGATCACCAGGTATGTTGATCAAACATAACAAAACACTTTAAGTTGTATATTTAATGGACCAAAAAGGAGCAAATGATTAAATTTCATTTATGGTTTACATATACTTTAAGGCTCCATGCACACTGGGTGTTTTAATAATGCTGGTTACGTTAGCTGTGAAAAGTCAAGTTAGAACTTGCGTTTTTCAGTGTTTTAGTATTAGCATTTGCATTTTTTGGAGGTTTTTTTTTTAGTCAAAAAATGTCCAAAAACGCTGGTTTGCCACGATTTACAGCATTTCTACAGCTAAAAAAAAAAAAAAACTCTAGAAACCCACTAGTTCTGGGTTTTTTTTCCAGCCAAAAAATGTTGATTACAGTCTATGTGTTCATGGACGCACAGGATAACATGCTGGGGAGTTTTTCTACTGTCTGTAGAAAAAAACGTCAAAAGGCAAAAACAGCCGCTGTAAAAACGTCCAGTGTGCACGAGGACTAAATGATTGGCAGGTGTCTACCTTTCTGACATTTTCAAGATCTTCTACAGCATAGCTATCCTTTTTAAAATATATTAACTCCACACAGTGCCCAAGGCTTTACAAATCTTGTGAGTGCTCTGAAAATTGTGTGTGCAAATACGGCTTCAGAACAATTAACTAAAAACACAGTCATTCATCAGTAAAAAATAAAAATACTGCAAATCAAGCAGACATACAAAGCATGGGCCATCTGACAAAAAGGTGTTTGGCATAAAATGTATATATAAGCAGCAAAGAAGAAATGTGTATGTATTACCATTTTAATGATCTTCTAAAATACCTACCATAATATGGAACATATTTACTAACAGGCTACCCAGAGTTCAGAGTTTCTTACCATCTGTGAAGTATCTACTGAGACGATGGTTCTTTTCTCATCTTCGGGACACTCTAACGCATTAGATACACTTGTTCCACCTGAAGTGCAAACCAAATATTCATATATCACAACAAATCCATTAATTATTTAGACACTGAAAACCAGGATAGCTGACATTACAGGTTATATTCAGAATGAAATCTGGACATGAAAGGACCAGGGGTCTCATACTAGGAGCACATGGGGATCAAACAACCTTCTAATACACCAATTCAGCACTTGTCATTTAAACTTTGCTGAACCCCATGTCTCTCCTATATTGCTGCATACTATGCAGTATAAAGTCTACACTGAGGGTAATCTCTATAGAGGTTGAAAAATAAGCCATTTCAATGGCTTTACATGTTCAGATTTTATAGGTTCAGGTTTGACGTTGGTCACAAATATTGATCATCTGCATCCGGTAACATTTATGTGTCCGAATACATTTGCATTATTCCTTTTCAGTGTTTTCTGTTACCCATTTTTCGGCTTCCTCTACATATAAATTTTGATGAACTTCCTACATACAATTAAGGAAATAAAGCCACTTAAGTCGTATTACCCGTCTTGCTATAAAGCTTTCATCAACACTCAACCTTCACAGAGGTCAGGGAGTCTTCAGTGCTAAACCACAGGGACATACAGTGGGGCAAAAAAGTATTTAGTCAGCCACCAATTGTGCAAGTTCTCCCACTTAAAAAGATGAGAGAGGCCTGTAATTGGCATCATAGGTAGACCTCAACTATGAGAGACAAAATGAGAAAAAAAATCCAGACAATCACATTGGCTGATTTGGAAAGAATTTATTTGCAAATTATGGTGGAAAATAAGTATTTGGTCACCTACAAACAAGCAAGATTTCTGGTTCTCACAGACCTGTACTTTCTTCTTTAAGAGGCTCCTCTGTCCTGCACTCATTACCTGTATCAATGGCACCTGTTTGAACTTGTTATCAGTATAAAAGATACCTGTCCACAACCTCAAACAGTCACACTCCAAACTCCACTATGGTGAAGACCGAAGAGATGTCGAAGAACACCAGAAACAAAATTGTAGACCTGCACCAGGCTGGGAAGACTGAATCTGCAATAGGCAAGCAGCTTGGTGTGAACAAATCAACTGTGGGAGCAATAATTAGAAAATGGAAGACATACAAGGCACACTGATAATATCCCTCGATCTGGGGCTCCACGCAAGATCTCACCCCGTGGGGTCAAAATGATCACAAGAACAGTGAGCAAAAATCCCAGGACCAGACGGGGGGACCTAGTGAATGACCTGCAGAGAGCTGGGACCAACGTAACAAAGGCTACCATCAGTAACACAGTACGCCGCCAGGGACTCAGATCCTGCAGTGCCAGACGTGTCCCCCTGCTTAAGACAGTACATGTCCGGGTTCATCTGAAGTTTGCTAGAGAGCATTTGGATGATCCAGAAGAGGATTGGGAGAATGTCATATGGTCAGATGAAACCAAATAAGAACTGTTTGGTAGAAACACAACTCGTCGTGTTTGGAGGAGAGAGAATGCTGAGTTGCATCCAAAGAACACCATACCTACTGTGAAGCATGGGGGTGGCACCATCATGCTTTGGGGCTGTTTCTCCGCAAATGGACCAGGACGACAGATCCATGTACAGGACAGAATGAATGGGGCCATGTATCGTGAGATTTTGAGTGCAAATCAAACCTCCTTCCATCAGCAAGGGCATTGAAGATGAAACGTGGCTGGGTCTTCCAACATGACAATGATCCCAAACATACCGCCCGGGCAACGAAGGCGTGGCTTCTTAGAAGCATTTCAAGGTCCTGGAGTGGCCTAGCCAGTCTCCAGATCTCAACCCCATAGAAAACCTTTGGAGGGAGTTGAAAGTCCGTGTTGCCCAGCGGCAGCCCCAAAACATCACTGCTCTAGAGTAGATCTGCATGGAGGAATGGGCCAACATACCAGCAACAGTGTGTGCCAACCTTGTGAAGACTTACAGGAAACGTTTGACCTCTGTCATTGCCAACAAAGGATATATAACAAAGTATTGAGATGAACTTTTCATATTGACCAATTACATATCTTCCACCATAATTTGCAAATAAATTCTTTCCAAATCAGCCAATGTGATTGTCTGGATTTTTTTTTCTCATTTTGTCTCTCATAGTTGAGGTCTAACTATGATGCCAATTACAGGCCTCTCTCATCTTTTTAAGTGGGAGAACTTGCACAATTGGTGGCTGACTAAGTACTTTTTTGCCCCACTGTAGGTTCCCGCTTTGCAGCCCACCTTACCCTGCATTAGGTTTGGTTGAGCTGCAATCTATTAGCTAACATAGCTACAGCAGTGTGTATTACAGCCAAACTGAAAGCACACAGATTATCTGCAGGAATGCTGAATATACCACTGACACTTCAAGCCCTGTAGTCATATTTTCAGTCCACCAGCGTTCAATCTGAACATCCAAAAGTGCATTCAACAAATGAAGTCAGAACATCTTTTCTGCGTATTTTTATCTATCAGGGACTAAATAATAAATGCACAGCTTTCTGCAGGTAAAAAAAAAGTGCATTTACTATTTTTTTTTTTTGTATTGCAGTCTGTAAGGTATTGCACCCGCAATCAGCAGATCGGAGATGCAATGCCTGGATCCTGCTGACACTCAGTAAGTTGTCTGTCCAGACATCGTACGGGCAGACAGTTACTGAATGCCAGGAAGAATCAAATGACTACACCAGAGCGTTCACCAGCAACCTCACAGTCCACTAAGAACTACAAGGTGTTAGCAGCAATGGCTGACGGTACTTGTAGGCATTCATTCAAAAAGAAACTGAATGAATGATGCAATGTGGGCAAAGCCTCGCACGAACGCTTTATTTCTTGAATTGTTCTAGCGGGTGCGGGGAGAGGATTTCCAGCCTAGCTGTCACAGGAAGGGGGGGGGGGGGGGGGGGATCTGGGGAGAGAGGAGGCAGGAGCTGGAACATATTACATGTTCCACCCTAAATACGGGTAACATGTTCCGAAGGTGAAATTATCTTTTAACCACCACTGTGTGTAGATATGTGTGTGTGGACAGACACACACTCGTATTGAGGAGGTTATACCGGGATCATGGTTGAGGCTACAAGCATGATCCCGGTATTTTTTTTTTTTTTTTTTTACACCCTGTGATTCAGTTTCTAGCAAAGGTAATCTGAGTAGCTTTACAGCCACTGGATTCATTTTAAAGGCAACGGAAGAGGGTTCTCCTGTCCAATAGGAGAGCCCGATAAGGATGAGACAGGCGGCATCAGATACAGTGTGAGGAACTGATGTTGTTCCTCCCACTGAGTGACATCAGAGATCAAAAGCAACAAGGATTTTGGCGCTTGCAAATTCGGTTTGATATGAACATGCCATTACCAGCTTGTGAAATCATCTGATCCAACTAATCCTCAGTTTGATCAGATGCTTTGGAGGCCAGAGGAGAGAGATGGGGTCTAATAGCCCTCAGATCTCTCCAAAAAGAGGACCTGTCATGGTCCATGCTATCACAAGGGATGTTATTCATTCCTTCTGATAGCAAAAAAGTTGATTAAAAAAAAAAAAAAAAAAAACCCCAAAAAAACTTAAAGATGCAGTGCTAAAAAAAATAAATATAAATAAAATAATGAAAAAAAAAATGTAAGTGCCCCCCATCCCTCTGTGATCATGAACAAATGTGAATGTGCATGTTGGTCCCGCAAGCTTATGTCAATGGTGATTGACCACACATGTGAGGCATCGCCGTGAATGTCAGATCAAGAGTAATAATTCTAAACTCACACGCCTTCTGTGTTACTCTAAACTGGTAACCTGCAAAAGCTTTTAAAGCATTGCCTATGGATAATTGAATGCACTATAGTTTGTTACCATTCCATGGGCGTGCACAATTTTATATTTCAATTTTTTTTTTATTGAAAGAATCAAACATACAGACCAACAATACCAACATATGAGAAATGTATAACTTCTCAAACAATAATCACTTGTGAAGAGAAATGACACGGACATTATATAGAAAGATGAAGAAATCAGACATAGCAAATATGTATGGGACCAAATAGTCCCTCCGGTGTAGTCTACAGAGAAAGAGGATAAACCGCAACAATAAACAGAAATCTAGTACACAGTGAAAAACAATTAACCACAAGCATTAACAAACCATAGTCAGGCACCATTATGTGATACATTAAAAAGTAATGTTGGAAAAAAAAAAAAAAAAAAAAAAGATGTAAAAAAAATTAATGAAAAAGAAAATGAGAAAAAGATCGCAGGAGGAAGGGTAAAGTAAATGAGGGTCAGCCATGGTCCTGCTAAGGGACTGAGAGGTATCAAATTCATGGATCCCAGGTACTGTCAAATTTTGATGCATCGTTATTAAGAATACAGGTGAGTTTGTCATTAATCATGATCCAATTCAGTTTATTTTTGACATAATCAAGTGGTATCACCGATCGCTTCCAATATTTAGCAATTGTAATTCTCCCAGCCAGGATAATGTAAAGAATCAATTTGGTCGATTTCCTGGGGGTTCCTGAAGGTAATTTCTGAAAAGGGGCTACCTCCGGGGACCTATGGATATTCACTGAGTAAATAAAGTAAAATATTTGGATCTAAAATCTTGTCACCACAGGGCATTGCCACCAAAAATGGCACATGGTTCCCTCCTGCCCACAGTGCCGGAAAAACAGGAAGGCGATGTGGCAGGGTACATTTTTGCAAGGAGTGTAGGGACTAAGTACCATCCTAGAAGTGTTTTATAAGTAGATTCAGTAGGTGTGGTATTAATAGAAATCTTGAACAAAGCGTAAGCCGTATCCTGCCAGTTAGTTCGTTCTAAGGAGAGATTTAAGTCCCGTTCTCACTGAATCACATAAGGGAGCTTGGTTTTTGGATTAATAAAGGAAGTACATATAGTGGATATTCGACCTTTCAACATACCAGTGGTTCGAAAGGAAAATTCAAAGGAGGCAAGCATTACGAGGCCTGTTAATAATTTAAGTTTGGATTTTATAAAGGACACAATTTGATTATATTGAAAGATTTCACTAGATGTGAGTTGGTGTTTATCCCAAAAATATTGTAAAGAGTACAGGCGATCCCCATCTAAATAATTCCAGATACATAGAAAGCTCTTATTGATCTACCACTGAAATAAAGACGGTACAAGCCCAGGTACAAATTTAGAATTACAGAAGATGGGAGCTAACGGGTTATGGGGGGAAGATAAGGATTTATGGGTGCGCAGCCTGTCCCATACTGCTAAGGAGTAAGATAATGCAGGGTATAAAATGGGAGGATGTAGTCGATTGGGAAGCCACATAAGAGAGCCAATAGCATAAGGATGACAAGACAGGGCTTCAATACTAACCCATTGGGGTTTAGGGCGTGCACACTTTTAAAGCATGACAGGAGTGATATCCATTTACATGATTGATAAAATTGTGCATTATATTGAATTTGCGATCATGAAAATTCATTAGGGCCAGTTCACACTGATTTGCGCTAAAATAGAAAATGGATGTACATTTCCATCCATTTCAGTCCCATGCTGACATCCATTTTAATGTCAGTTGACATACATTTTTGACATCCGTTTATATGCATTGTAGCGTGCATTAAAGCGTACTGTATTTTCACAGGATATCTGTGCATTGTGTTGACATCTGTTTGCATCCACATGCATCCGTTGCGTTGTGTTCAAAAGCATACATGGTGCATTTTAGCACAATGCAAGTCAAGACAGCGTTATGGTGTGAACAGGACATATTAAAAATTGTTTTTCAGATGTTCTTCCGTTGATATGCAAATAATTTGCATTTGAAAAGCCACTTTGCAAATACCGTGTGTATATATATATATATATATATATATATATATATATATATATATATATATATAAATAAAATGTTTGGAGGTTATAAGCAATTCTCTAGCAAGAAACAAAATGCAGATTTTTACATATATGACAGAACTGTTAGAAGTGGCCTGGTAAGCAAGTGGTAAAAGGACAAATGTCACAATCTTCTCTATGACCGACTAGACCTACACTGTCTACAGGTACTCACTGAACATGATGAACATAACCTGTTAACACTGACAAGAGAAACTAGACAGTGTAAAGAAGTTAATAGCCAAGAGTCAGAAATCTTACCTCCAAATGGAATAATGCAGACATTATGTTTGCAGGCCAGGTCCACAATTCGTACTACATTTTCATGACATTCTGCATGAGTGAAAAAAACAAAATTTCTTAAACAAGCGTTAGACCACAATAAACCTTGTATTCACTCTAAATTACTGCCTTTGTTATGTTGCAAAGCCTGTACAGGAAAAGTAGTGGTGAAAAAAATGCTTGAGATTGAACCAATAATTTTTTGCATATTAATTCTTCATGTTTCACGTAGCTAGAAGTATGACCTTTACCCATATACTTTGTGCTGGAAGGTATCCCTCTCTTTCAGCTCAGAAAGTTGGGAGGTATGAACCTGTAGGGGTGCACACGAGGAACAAAAAACCTAACCAAGATGTTATCTGCAGGCTTGTTTAACGCGGTATAGCCCATGGAAAACATGAAAAAGTGCTACTTTAATTGATTTTAGCAATGTGAAATATGGTGGATAATAAAGATTACTAAGCTTTGCAAATTACCACTCATTGAATGCTTTGTTATTAACCTGAGCCTGGTACATTAGAAAACGAAAACATATTTCTGAGCCTACCAGTTCTAGTTAATCAAATTCATGTGCAATGAATTAGTTTGACTTCTACACAAAATGAAATACATTGTAGGGGTTCTCCACTAACCACACGACTGAAATAAATTTAAACCACCCAATGCCCCCCCATTGGTCTTCAGTCCCAATTTTCCTGGGATCATGACCTTTATTGTAACAGGTATCCAGTTTTAAATTGCAGCACATTACAGGTGTCAGCACTCATCTCAATGGGGACTAATAAGTGATTCAATAGAGACAATCAACTGACATTGGGGAAGTTTTCTGCTAGACTTGATCCTCTACTGAAATACATTTTAATTGCCTCTAAAGTACTATTTTAAATGACACACAAAAAATTATTTTTTTTTTCATGCCACGCAATTGGGCAGCATAGGGGATAAGGGATTAAGAATCAGAAACATCAAGCATGTATTGGAGTAGTCAGCATCCACCAAGAGATCATCTACCATGTTGGAAAAGAAGCACAGCTGACTTTGGGCCTATTCACGCTATAACGCAGTGTGCTGCAATGGACTCCTTTTCGTACACTGAGGTTTGTGGCCTCAGGCAGCCCGTTCAAAATAATAGACTGTTGATGCATCCCCAACGTGAGCTAAAACCTGCCTAAATTTTTTTTTCTATCTGTTCTAGGGAGGCTGAATTGAATCAAAATCCAGACAGCCACTATACACAGTACTTCACAACCTCCCTGCAAGTGCTTCATTTGGATTTAAGGAATTAGTCGTTTCAAGCGTAATTGCATAAAACAGCAATACAATTAGAACAGCTAATATTTAACTATCTTTATTCCGTTTAATTAATGTACAATGACTAATTTGGCTATCCTGAATGGGCCTTGAGCTATTTGCAAAGTTAACCTACATGCAATTAAATAGCAATAGTGATAATGACGTGTTTAAAAATATTTAACCATTACTGTGGTGTATATCTGCACTGTTAATTGCCACTTTGAGTCTCAATTCTGCCTAATTGGCGCTGCCTAATCACTAGAGAAACATGGCTAACTAACAGTCCATTTCACATGGGCAGTCAAAGCACCCTGCATACAGTAAAATGCTGCTTTTCAAGAGGATTAATGGGATTGCTTATTGCCACTTATTCATTTGGGAGATTTATTATGATAGTGGAAGCAAATAAGTTTTATATAAGCAAATATACAGCAAAGTTTACAGTATAGGTGCACTCCAATCTATAACAATATTGCATTTAAAGCTGAACTCCAAGAATAATCAGTTAAAATACATATATATGAATTGCCCTGCCGTCCAAAAGATTTGTGATTCTATTCGGTAAAGCCAGACATACATAAAGCCATACATGCATGGACTTGGTGTCTTTTGTTTAACCAGATTACCTATGTAAAAAAAATTCAACCAGTTCTGCAGGCACCGGACGAATTTCGAACCATGTATTGAAAGGGATTTTGTACAGAAGTCGACCTACAGACTAACTTCCGTAAAACCACCCTGTCGGACTTTCCCAGGCTATAGCCTGCAGCACTGATCAGTGTACTCTGACAGCAGGGAAGTCTCCCCACTGTCAGAATACAAAGACTCAGTAGGCACGACTCTACATCAAGTGTTTGAATGGGGGAATCGAATCAGTTTTTTCGTTCAACCAAAAAAAAACTGACTAATCTATGGGCTGCTTTAGTCTTGAAAATCCTTACATTCTCCCAGACAGCACAACCAGGCCCTGGACCTTCAGTACATTGGTAGCACTGCTTGGTCTAGGTCTAGGACATACCCTCAGCCTGCTGGTTGGTCAGTAAGGAAGTCAGTTTTTTTCCCACTACCAATCAACAGCTTTCATATGTTAAACTAACATTACTATGCACTGGTTCAGAGTACGGTCTTTCCTTCTCTCAGAGTTTTGCTCGGGAAGGGACTTACAGGATACCAAAATGAGATAAATCTGGTCACTTACATCATTGGCACCTAAAGGGAACCATTACCCAGAGAATACAGAGGTTGCCATAGCTGATCTTTCCTTCCAAAAATGCCAGTTGACCGGCTGAACCAACGCTCCAATAGTTTTCAAGTGACAATACTGAACATAAATGCAAATCAGGAGTTCTGTGACTTAAAAGACAAGTATGGCCAAAGCTCGTCCTCTCCTCAGCCTCGCACTATAGCAAGTGCTGGAGGAGCAGAGTGGAGAGCGGTGATTGACAGTCAGACTGACAGAGTGACTGACTGCTACAAGCAGACAAAGAGTTAACTGACCATGTAATCGCTCAGTTTTCAGTCGAAGCATAGGACATCTATAGTGTGACAACGATGCTACAGTATCCTTTAGGCCTGGTTCACATTAGTGTAATTTCTGATGTGACTTGAGCTGCGCAGAATCGCATGACAATGGATATAACATTTTTAAGGGTGACCGTTCACATTAATTCAGTGCTGCTGCAGTGCAGCTTTGGGGAATGGTCCTGTATGACTTTGGTGCAATGCAGTGTAATAATAATACACTGTGTACACAATTATTAGTCAAGTTGCATTTTTGAGCATTAATTTCATTATTGAACAACTACAGTGCTCTCGGTCAATCCAAAATGTTAATAAACCTCAAACATGATTATTTAAAAAAAGTAAAAGTGAGGTTTTAGCTTTCTTAGAATATCTATGTGTGCACAATTATTGGGCAACTATTAGTGTGCATACTAATTTTGCAACTAAATGAAAATGTTCCCATCTTACTTGTTTATTGTCATCTGTTAAAGTAAGAATAAGAAACAAACAGCTCAAAATTTACAAATAAACATTTCTGACATGTAAAAAAAAAAACAAAACAAACAAATCAGTGACCAATATAGCCACCCATTTCAATAACAGGCATAAGCCTTCCATTCATGGAGTCTGTCAGTTCTTGATCTGCTGACAATCAACTTTTTGTGCAGCAGCAACCACAGCCTCCCAGACACTGTTCAGAGAGGTGTACTGTTTTCCTTCACCTTAAATATCACATTTAAGAAGGGCCTACAAGTTCTCAATAAGGTTTAAGTCAGGTGAGGAAGGGGGCCATGTCCTTATTCTTTCATCTTTAAGGCCTTTACTGGCTAGCCACGCAGTGAAGTACTTCGATGCATGTGATGGAACATTGTCCTGCATAAATATCATGGTCTTCCTGAAAGCGGCAGACCTTTTCCTGTACCACTGCTTGAAGAAAGTGTCTTCTAAAAACTGGCAGTAGGTTTGGGAGCGGATTTTGAGTCCATCTGCAACCCGAAAAAGGTCCAACTAGCTCATTTTTGATAATATCTGCCCATACCAGTACCCCATCTCCACCTTGATGGCGCTTGAGTCTAAGTGGAGCTCTGTGCCCGGTTACTGAGGCAGCCACGGGCTTATTCAAGTGTCACTCTCATTTCATCAGTCCATAAAACCTTTGAAAAATCTGTCTTCAGATATTTCTTGGCCCAGTCGTGACGTTTCAACTTATGTGTCTTGTTCAGTGGTGGTAGGGCTTCAGCTTTCCTTACCTTGGCCATGTCTCTGAGCACTGAACACCTTGTACTTCTGGGCACTCCAGGTAGATTGCACTTCTGAAATATGACAGCACTGGAGGAAAATTGATTTCTGGTAGCTTGATTCTTCTGAAATTTTTGGCAGTATATTTCCGTCTTTTTCTCAACACGTTTCTTACAACCCTGTTGACTATTTGCAACACAACGTTTGATGGTCCTGTGATCACGCCCCAAAATCTTACCAATTTCAAGAGTGCTTCATCCCTCTAAAAGACTTTACAATTTTTGACTTTTCAGCGTCAGTTAAATATCCCAGTTTGGCCCATTTTGCTTGAGGAAAAGAAGCCGCCTAATAATCAAGCACACTTTGATATAGGGTGTTGATCTCCTTAGGCCACACCCTCCCTCAGTACACACTACAAACCACCTGATATGCTTAACTCCAATAAGCATTCACGTTTATACAGCTTGGAGTTTGACAATATGCATAAAAATTATGATTTTGTCAAAATACTCACTTGCCTAATAATTGTGCACACAGTGTAGTTGTAATAGAGGAATAGAGGAGGTAATAGTCGTAAGCCATAAAATCATGGCAAAAACACACACAAATAAAATCACATGACAATTGCAAAGCACTTTCACAAAAATCGCATATCACTTGTGCTGCATATTGTGCTTCAAATCACTTTCAAAATTTATCACACTAATATGAACTAGGCCTTAAAGTACTAAAGCCAAAAGACAAAAAGGCAACTAGTATTACACCCTTTACATCACAGTTTACTTTATATCCTTTCTGATATTTGGTCATATTTCTGCAGCTCTACTTTCTATTCTTCACCAATTTATATTCCTACTACTCCACCCTCTCTTGCTGGCCATAGATTAAATGAAATTCGCCTGGTTCAGCAGGGACTTGCTGCATTTCAAACTATCTATGGCCATTCCTATTCGTGAGAAGTCTATCTACTAAATGTAAAATTTTGTGTTGCAGTCCTGCAGCGCTGATCAGAGTAA